TTTTTTTTACTTTATACAATACATATGTAGAAACAAACTTGACTTACTTGGTTTCTCGGATGCGTTCGCACTGCAGTCCAATCTCCTTACAGTGTTGACTGTGTCTTGTACCGTACTTTCACGCCCTACTCTTCAACCCGGTCAAACGCCCCTCCACTCCAAACCTCCAAACCTCCAAACCCCACAGCCCATTCTTGCACCACCAACACCACCCAGCAACCAGCAGGCAGCCAAACCACGCCCTCAGAGACCTCCTCCACGCCTGCACCAGCACAGCCACTCCCCCTCAACCCACGCCCGCTGCACGCAGCTATTTCCATACCCATGCAAAAACCCTTCTTGGCAACGCGATCCTTCCATCCTTCCAGAAACGCCTTCTAGGCCCTATAGACGACCGCTCCACGAATCCTCCATGCAGGCAACGCACACTGAGCCCCACCACCATCGCCACCGCTGCCAGTTCCTGCTGACGCGTCTGGCGGGGACATGGCGTGAGCGACGGGCGCCGGGCGGGACGGGGGACTTGTTGGTTCCTGGGTAGGTAGGCGTGGTCGGGGGAGGGATCGTCATCGTCGTCGCGATCGCGAATGCGCGCGAGATGGATGATGATGATGGGTCAGAGTGAGTGAGCGTGAGCGTGAGCGTCAGAGTGGGAGTCATCCGCGCCAGCTAGCCAGCGCGCTCAGGTGAGCGCTAGCTAATCCGGACAGCCGCTGGCACATCATCATCATCATCATCATCATCAGCCGCGGCCGCGGTCGTGGTCATGGTCAAATTCGTCGTCGGTGTTTGAATGCCAACTCCGCCCTCACACGGGCACGTTGTTGTTGTTGTCATGCCGTGTCGCGTGTCGCAAGCTGCGGTGCATGGAAGTGCAAGGACAAGGACATGTTTCGCGCTGCTAGCCCGCTGCGGCGAGAAACATCCCAAGGTGGGACGAACATGCAGTGGGGCCCAGGTTGGACCCGCGCACCCACACGCCCACGCTCCCCACGCTCGCTCGCTCGCTCGCTTGCAGCCGCTCACCCGCGCGCCCGCTGTGCCGCTTCCTTCGCACGAAAACGGCCCCCATCAACCCCTAAACCTCCGTCCCGCCCCGATGGATGCGCCAATCGCGGGATTTTGCGTCGTCGCGAAGGATGGAGGCGAAGGAGCAGCGAACGGCGATTTGGGGTTTGGAGGCGTTGGATTGCGCGGGCTGCTGGCTTTGTTGATCCCTCGGGGCGAGAGGCGGGAGGCGGGAACTATGGCTGATGGGAAGGAGGAGTGAAGGATTCGTCTCGTCTCGTTCTTGTGGCGCGGAGTTACGCGGTGCTGGGTTGGGTTGTTGAATGAGGGGGTAGAGGGGAGGATTCTTCCTACCTAGCTAGTTGTTTGGGGTTTGCATGCGGTTTCTGCTCTGTTTTGCCACTGCTGCCTAGGTTCTGTTGCTCCTTGGCTTTGCGAACTATGTAACTAGGAGTATTACCTGTATGTCCTCGTTGGCGGAGAAATTGGACATGGGAATGAAGAAATAGTAAGAGAGGTGTTGGAAAGACATTGCACCCCTGACGTGTTGTTTAGAGCTTGTTTTAGGGGCCGAGGAATAATGACGCGTCTAACTGATTCCCCGTCAAGCTGTGGATTTGAGGGAAATGTCATGGCCGCCGCTGTCTTGTCGCTTAATCTTAGCGACCCGGAGACCGTTGCCAATGCGGATTTGAACGTGAACCAGACAATGCATGACATTTTCGGATGCAAGACGGTTAGAGAAGTATTGAGGCTTAATTTAGTCATTCCAGCTATCCGGAAAGCTTCTAACGCTCTCGAAGTCAGGCATGAGTGTCTTGAGCTAACAGCTGTCCCTGTCCACCGTGCCTTTGTGACTTTGTCTTCCGCTGCGACCAGGCTGGTCTTGTCTACCACCGTCTTGTCCCTGTGTGTTGCACCTCTGAGCCTGCTGCTCTGGTTCGGGACCTTGCTGATTCTCAGGCTTCTATCGTAGATAGTGTTAGCATGTCCAATAAAAATAACAAAGAACCTCCTGCACAATAATCGGGTTTAAGTATAACTTTTCCATTGTTTCAAAGTTCTTAGTTTATTTGTTTCAATGCGGCTCATCGCGTCTCGTTTCTCGATGCTGTTTCAGTGGGCTGTGTGATAGAAAACATTTTGTCCAATTAGCGGCAGGATGATTTACTCACCATGAAAGCTTTCTTGTTGAGGCTGTCTAAATCACTTGTTAGCGCGAAGATAAAATCATGTTTTGCAAAGCTTTATACCAAAGTCTACTCTAGTAGCTACCTAGCTTTATGCATGAGCTGTGATTGATCCAAGCCGGTTGTCGAAGGAGGACTGCCAATTCGACAAGGAAACAGCATCTTCTGCCTCGAAACTCCAGTGTTCAAACTCAAGCATTACCTCTTGTTACCCATAAAGAAAGCATCATCCCTTCCATGACAGTCAACCCTTCGTCTGTTTTGATGTCTGACTGTGTCCGTCATCATAGTAATTAACAGAGTCAACAAACGACATGTCGTGATCCTGCTCCAGAACAGTTGTCACAAGCCCTCCTAACGGCCCACCGACAATGCCATCGCTTACGTCCGCCGCTTTCTTCAACAAAGAGACAATCGATTTTTCAGTGTTTTTTCCGTTCCCGTTGTCCAGTGCCACCAGGATCAAGTGCACAGCAGGAGAGTGCATCAGATCTCTTTCTAGCATGCGCTTTTCTCCCGCTGCGTATTCAGGGAAAACCTCTCGCAGAAGCTCGTCACATTCTTTGCTAACCTTCGTCGTCAACAGACATGAGGTTCTTAGCAAGGTAACGTAGTTGAAAGGCAAGGGGATTACTTCGGATTGTAGAGTGTCACACAGATTCTGCAGAAGCGCGACAGCCTCTCCGGTATGCTTCCCACGCTGCGCAAAAGCACCTCCGAGGTCAGCAGGGATGCCGTGCTTCATAACGCTCTTCAGCGACGGAGCGGGGCCGTATCTGGGCGCATCTCTGTTTTCGGATGCCTGTTTGCTCTTGAGGCGGACACTCTAGATCTTTGGCTGTGAAGTTGGTATGGCCGGATTTGAGCATGATTGAAACTGGGGATGCCTGTTTGCTCTCGAGGAGGATCTTCTCTAACTGCTCTTTAGCCGTGAAATTGGTCCGGCCGGATTTTAACATGAGCGAAACTGGGGCTAGCTCCTGAAGTCCCCGTATACCCCGCCTACTAAGCGGCATATCTAGCTTGGACCTGCTGGCTGTGTTGCGCAGTTCGCGTCGGTGTGAGGCGAAGTTCGTTATGGAATAACCTGTGCTTAATGTCCATCGCTTGAGATAGTCGTTTGAGTTCTTTGGCCTGCCACCGAAGAGGATATTTTCCCCTTGATGGGAGTATAGAAACTCCATATCCTTCCATTTCTTGTTGAGGAGCTTTTCTTGGCGTAGGGAATTGTACAGATGGGCTGCAGTCGTGATTGAGGTAGTTGTGTTTGTCAGTTGTATGCCGAACTGCTGGAAATTGGACACGATTAAGGACTTTAAAAGCCCAACCCATAGCGGATGGCTTCCCATTAGCTCGAATGGCTCACTTGAGGACAGACCCAGCTAGCAAAACATCCCTGGAATCCGTTCCAACTTAACGAACTCTCTGATGAGATAGTTGTCTTGCACGAGACGCATATCCATGCCGTACTCTTTCTTGCCAAATTGGCCTACGAACTTTAATGCCTCATTCGTTGATGTCTGAATTTGTCGAGCGGTCCGCTGTAACTCAAGAAATCCTCGCTGGGTTTTTTGGCGCAAGATGTGAGTTATGTCGAGAAAGACTTGTGTCGCAAACGCGTCTGAAATGGATACTTTGCCTCCCTCGAGTAATGCCTCCACACTTCTAAGAAACCCATCCATCGAAGGCATAGTTGTTGAACCTAAGGTTTTCTTGAGATTGCAACATCGGCTTGCAATTATGCGTCAGAATGGCCATGTCTTCCTTGTACCTCTCCCGGTGACTTTTCTCAGCTCTGTTGCTGGTAATATCGTACTTCTCATCGGGGGTAAAGATATCTCCACATTGGATTCTAGGGACGACTTTCCTGAACCCTTCCAGAAAATGGAAGGTAGTAATAAAAGTATGGCCGGTAGGTGCTCTGAAGTTCATAAAGTCCTCTGGTGGTTCCTTAAAGGTTGGGTCTTCTTCAAACGCTTCGCATACTTGAATATAAGCCCTAACAATCAATGCAGAGGGCTTTTGGTCCATGCCAAACATAACTTGTGCATCCTCCTCAAGCTCTCTGGCGAGATCAAGAGCAACGTTCGTCGTGATCGACACGGCACTCAGGTCATACAAACCTCTTTCATATTTTTCCCAGATCGTATGAATCATGCCTCGGAGATTGCTGTAGTCGAAGATGAGCATATAGAATACACACATAGCTTCGTTGTCATCGTGAAGCTTTGCGGCATGATAATCGGGCTCTCTTCTATCAGCTTTTGGAATGTCTGGTGCATTCAGGAACTGCTCGGTCGGCTTATCAACGTGCAGGCCTGAAAAAGCGTTATTGAAGGAGTTATCCTGAGACACTTTCGAGCCCTCTGAGGGTAATTTAACGGATCCGGCGCTTGATGCCTTCAGGGAAATGTGGGAAAGTAGCACATCTCTTGTACTTTCGAGAACAGAGACGAAGTGAGAATGCCTAGATCCATCCGGGTCATTAAGGGCCGATGAAAGATCAGAAAATAGTTGATTAACCTCCCTCCCTGCGTGCCGGGCGTCCCTGCGTGCCAGAACAAACGCGAGGTACTTTTACTTCACAGCGATATAGAATATGTGCACACGCTACTATACCTATAGTACTGAATGAACTTTACTCTACAGGTACTATTTATTATCCGAAACCTCTTTTACCTAAAAAATTGTCTAAATGTAGCCGTCTATCCCCTACTTTCTACGGAGTGTATTTTCTTAGCGCGATAGCATTTCTCCGCTACAGCACCAACATCCATCTCTCATCACTCCTAAGGCTCCAGTTAACGTGCCCCCCCCTTCTCGCTGTAGAGCCCCCCCCCCTCACCACCGCCTGCCTAATTAGGTATCGCTCCGGCAGAAAGTTGCCTTCGCGCGACTTCGTGATATCGCGACTTCGTAACAACGTATCCTCTCTACAACGCCTCTTCGCGGCCACCCACGCCACCATGGACCTTGCCGCTCCGCCAGAGAGCGTTCACCCAACGCTTTAAGCTACCAGAGATGCGATCAAAGCTTTCTCGAAGGAACACGGATACGCGCTGAGTGATAAAGGCACAAAGTCCACCAAAAAGGGTGTGCCGAAGAAGCTACGCCTCCGCTACAACAGAGCGGGCACCCACGTCTCTAATGCCTACGTCCGCAATACAGGCACACGGAGGACTAACTGTCCCTTTCAACTCGTCGTTCGCCGCTAGGAGAATAGTATATAGAAAGTTAAAGCTCCTGCAGACGCTCCTCCACACAATTATAAGCCATTTTTATCGCCAATAGCTCACCCATATTACCGCAAGATGACTGCCGAGCAGCAGCAGCAGATTAATACTCTCGGTACTGCTAGTCGCCCTAGACAGATCCGTACTCAATTATTAAGCGAAGACCCGGACAGTTTAATAACTAGCTCTAATATTAAGAACTACCAGGCAAAGATAAGACGACTACGCCTTAATAGCCTTACTACTACACAACGAATAGCTAAGGACCTCGAAGGAGAGCCTAATTAGGTATCTAAGCTGCAGCGGGACTCGGATAATAACGCCTATCTCTTCTTCTTCGTATACAAGAGAGCTCTCGCCCTTTAACAGCGCTAGGGCGACGTCGTAATAATAGACTATACGTATAATTCGAACAGCGAGAAAGTGCCTCTACTATATATTGTAGGAGTTACTCCTATGGGCCGTAGGTATACTATTGCCTTCTACCTGCTGGCGAAGGAAAGTGAAGCTAAATATCTCTAGGCAATTAAACGTCTTTCGCGGGTCATAAAGAAGCCTTCAGTCTTCGTCACTAACTATAAATTAGCGTTGAAAAATACTCTCAAGACTTACTACAGCGACGTTCCACAACAGCTCTATATATAGCACATTACTAAGAACGTCGGCAGCAAGATCAGGCAGGCCTAGGCACATCAACCTAATCCAGATATAGAGACTACAGAGGATAGCGAAGATATCGAGCAGCAGCGGACGGCATATGCACGTCGCTTTCAACACCTTACTAGTACTCCCACGCCTGCAGAATAGGATACTCGCTAGGAGTCCTTTCAGAACGACTACGCGGAGAAGGAGGACTTTATTAGTTATATTCGAACACAATAGGTCCCTTTTAAGGAGCAGTAGTACCGGGCATAGACTACTTAT